AAAATAACCAAACCAGTTTGGTCTTATCGCTTTTCGCATTTTTCAGAATTGTACCAATAAATAAGTGAATCGACTGAGCTGAATCTGACAAAAGCGACGGGCACCCCATAATCCCAACTAGTTGGGCTCGGTGACATGAAGTTTATAGTGTACATTACGTAGCACCATAATTTCATCCAAAAAAGTAAAAAGAAAAATAGTACACTAAGAAAGTTTGCCTTAGCTGCCCTTTTTGTTGCAACCATTTCATGAAGGTATAATGGAATGAATTTCCAAAATCCTTTTTCAATATTTCTACTTACATTGTGCCAGTTATTGTAGTCATCTCCATATACAAGATTACTATTTTGCAGTAAAGTTGTAAAACATAAAACTACCATAATTTCATCCAAAAAAAGTAAAAAGAAAAATAGTACACTAAGAAAGTTTACCTTAGCTGCCCTTTTTGTTGCCAACCATTTCACGAAGGTATAATGGAATGAATTTCCAAAATCCTTTTTCAATATTTCTACTTACATTGTGCTAGTTATTGTAGTCATCTCCATTTACACGATTACTATTTTGCAGTAAAGTTGTAAAACATAAAACACAAAAACAGAAGGAGGTTGTTAGCCTTAACAGTGAACAACTGGAGTGAATCATCCAATTTACAGAAAAGATTCATATACAAATTACATTTCATAAGTTTAGTTAAACTAACAAACAGACTTAAAAAATACAACCAGGGACAATGCTTTATGACCGTTGTACCTTGCCAAAATTTAAATAGCTTGTTTGGAAAGAAACCATTTTCCAGGATGGAGGTAGGTAATAAGATTTGTTTATCCATATGAAACATTCTAAAGAATTGCTTGTACTTTTGCAGACTATGCTCGGTCTGGTAAGATCAATGTATGTTCTCTTCACTGTGGATGAAGATTCGGCATTTCTACGCTATGGATACTTATCTACAGAGAATGCTGCTACAATTAGGAAAGAAGTTGCAAAGCTTTGTAGTGAACTTAGACCACATGCACTTGCCCTGGTCCGTTCCTTTGGCATACCTGACGCCTTCTTGAGCCCCATAGCTTTCAATTGGATTGATGCAAATGCTTGGTCTTCCGTATAGCGGCTTGTATGTGTCAAGTTGACGTCCATGGCTCACCTTCAGCCCTGTTTTCCTCAGTCCTGGTTTAAAAATCAGAACGACGGGAGCTTATAATACTAGCAGGGTCTTCTTAAGGAGGCCTGGTGCTGATTACAAGAATTTAGTCTTACACGGAGTATAACAAAGTAGAAGTAATATTGTAATAAGAATGAATATGTTTGAAAATAATTTCACATCTTTGAGATTTGAGAAGGCAAAAGAAAACCAGACCTTGCTTGATATTGTTTTCCATTTGTTTAAACAAACGAATATGTAATTAGAAAAAATGTTTTCTGTTTTGGTGGGTTTTAAAATTAATACGTAGTATGAATGTATGATTAGTATATGAATACGTTTTTTTTTTAATTTTGTTATACAATTTAAAATATAAATTTAAAAACTTTGAAACAATATGTTTCGAGGTAAAAGTTTGGATGTTGTATGCAATTTAATACGTATAAATTTGAAAACTATAACTTTGAAACAAAACTCGGAAACAGAGTTAATTTGCATTCGATAAGCCTTGAGCTGGTGCAAAGATCAAGGATGAGACTTTTTAGAGGTGGAGTCGGATGCGCTTGGAGCGTTGGCGGAAATCCAGAAAGGAGGAAGTGACATTAGAGACATTGAGGCTCATTTGTTGTCTAGAGTGATCGATTCTATGTCTGATTGTCATATTTGGTTTTCTCATCCACATAGTTGTATTGTTTCTGCATTGGATTATGACTTGATGAATTAAAGCTAAGTGTGTTAACTTGCAAAAAGAACTATATATAATTGCCAGTTCTATATTGATTAATGAATGAACCATTCCATCAATTATATAAGGAGAGGGAAATCATGTGTTTGGAAGAATAAATTGATGCTGAAAGCTAGTCTAAATTAGATATTGTTATCTAAAGTTGCTCAAAATGAAATGTCATTCGAATGAAGAAGTAAACTTATTTGGCTACACAACTCAAGTAACGATAACAACTTGTAAAATTAAAATAAAACATTATGTTTCAATAAAATAAGATAAATTTTGAATGAGAGAATAATAAAAAAAATGACATAAACTTATGTCCAATTAAAAGGTTGGACCGAAATGCTAAAAATGAAAGATGTCTCTTGATAGTTGCAACGTTAGAAACTTTACACTATTCACATGCTCTAGTTTGACTATATTTTATTTATGAATACATTAAAAAATTATTTTTTAATAAAATATAATTAAATTCTTCACTTTAAATTTTCAAAATGTGATTTTTTTGAAAAAAATTGAATTAGAAAATTAAATATATTAATGATCAAAGTTATGCGTTGGTGAACGTGAAAATGGAAGCGTTGCAACTAATAAAGAACGAATCTACACATGAATTAATTGTTTCAATTTATTAAATTTCAGCTAAAAATAAACGGTATGGTCCTATAAAGTTATAAACACAGTCAAATTCGTATATGCTCCATTAAAGTCGTAAATATTGAGAAGTTATACACCCACACAAAAATGGTATGTAAGTTGCACTAATTGACTAATGGCATGTCGCACACAGGCCTTAAGCAGTACGTGATTGATCTCAACACTCAAAAGATAGACGAACGGTGGATTGGGAGTTTGGGACCAAGCAATCTAGCACTAGTGCAAAACCAAACACATGACAAGGTGGATCACATTAGATATACAATGTTAGGTTGATGTCTACATGAGAACTAGGCTGGTGAGGTTGGGAACTTTTACAAATTACAAAGTTGTTTTTAAGAATCGGTTAGACATTTTCAAAAAAAAAAACCAGTTAGACTTTTTACGAAGTACAAGGAAGCACAAAGATACTCCGGTATGGAGTCCAGTTGGTGAGGCCCATTTAGGCCCCTCAGGCCCATTTAGAGCCATTTAGGCCAACTCGGCCTACTTGGGGTGGCTTCGGCCCATTAAGGCCTTTCTGACCCATTAGGAAAGAAAGGTCCCCCACTCTATAAATAGGAAGCAGGGGGACTTCTCCTCTCTCGTTGGAGGCTTTGGGCTTTTGAGTTCTTCCTCCCCGCTTCTTCTTTTCTTTAGAAATATGTTCAAGCTCCATTAATGGGAGCTCCAAAACTGGTACTATGTAAATGGTGAGGAGATGATTAATGAGAAAAAGCGGGCTTGGACGTTATCCTAAAAAGTCCCGTGGTTTTCTCCCTTTCCGGGTTTCCACGTAAAAAAAGAGCATTTCACACATATTACATCTATATGTATTAGTTTATGTTGGAGTAAACTCAATAACACCCAACGAGCAATACATTGCATTTTTCAACGAAAAACCCTGTCAACCTTCTGATAAAACTCTCTCAGTTCAACCCTTTGTTCCCGTTCACTGGAACAACCTATTGTGTGCTCAATAGAGTTGTTCGTTTGTCATTGTATCCTAGAAAACTGATGCTGCAACGCTCCTAACACTATGGTAGGCAACAATTTGGTTTTAAGAACATTGTGCGTTGCACAAGCTTTGATTGTCCATTTGTTCGGTGTGTCTTCCTGTTCTAGAACAATGACAATTCTATCTTCTGTTCAGTTGGATGAACTCTTTTTCAAAAAAATAAAACATATTTTCCCACAAATTCTTCCAGTCATAACTAAAAGAACAAGGCAAAATATTGTGTTTGCGTCTATAAATTCTTCTTATTTGTGACAAGATATTAAATGTCATGCGACGAACACAGAACTTGAGGCTTCTTCATTTGTCATCCGGTGATCAATCTAAATACTTGATTAAGTTTTGTGAATGGATTACTGACGAGCACTTTGTCGTAGTGTGCCTCAAATTAAATTCACTACTAAGGGCTAATACCGTAGTATAGCGTAGTAGAGTTCGTATCCATAGGGAAAGGAGCTTTTCGCGTATGTGTAAGCGTAATAAATAAAAGTTAACGGAAGGGGGAATTGGATATTTTGATAATTGAGAAAGCAAATAACATACTTAAATGAGTGAAATAAAATATCAAAGGTAATTAGTCTTGGTTTTGCTTTTATCCACTTAATGAAATGTTCGTCGATCCCGTTTATATCTTTAACTATCTTCCTCTCGAATACTCAATCGAGGAGTATATCCAATTCATCGAGGGTAGGTATTAATAACGAGACACGTTCATTAATAAAACTTACTGACGGGCACTTTGTCGTAGTGCGTCAAAATAAATTCAATACTAACACTTATACGTAGTATGACGTAGTAGAGTTCGTATCCACATGGAAAAGAATACTTTTCTTCTTATGAACTAGTAAATAAAATGGGGGTTTTGGGATTGAGTGATTTAATTAAATTAATACTAAGATGAACGATTGAAATTGATAACCTCAACACAAACGGTTTATTGGTTTAATCAATATAATTAATTCCCCTTACATTATTAACCATGAGACGCATGCATTAATAATCCAAGTTTACTACCGTGAAAAGATCGAACGATTAACAAGCGTATTCGTCGATCGATTCTAGTAATAATTAATATATGAGACAAAACTAGTTGATCCTTTAAGTAATGCTCAAGATATTAAAATGAAATATGAATAGGAATTAATTAATATTCAAGGAAGAATATTAAAGAAGATATAAATCCTACTATAACTAATGTCAAGATGTTAACTAATTGTCATTTTAGTAACACTCCCCAACATTAATATAGAGGAAGAAAATAAATACTACTCTAACTAATGTCGAGATGTTAACTAATTGTCATCTTAGTAACACTCCCCAACATAAATATAGAGATAGTATTAAGGGAAAAATTAATATTCAAGGAAGAAGATTAAAGAAAATAACTCACAACTTACAATTCATTAAGCTTCAAAGTAGCAAAACCAAGATGGAAATACTACCTAAATTACAAGAATAAAGTGTATATGAAAGAGGGGATTAAATTGGTATCTAAATAAGGAAGGAAAGAGGTGTTTTTATAGGAGAAGTAAGGTGGTTGGGTCTAAGACATAATCTAATTTTCCCATGTTCACTTGTTTTATTTGATCTCTTATGATCTCCGGGTCGAATCATATCCGATTTTTCACACATCTTTGTCCTCCATGAAGCTTCCTCTTGTCTCCAATGCTCCTTCCTTATGCTCCCAAGATCCTTCCTCTTCTTTTCATCATGGTTTTGCTTACATGTCAAAATATCCTAATATCTTCTAATTCTTCTTTAATTTTAGAAGATTAAAGATTACACCGTAATTGTACAAAAGCTAAGTAAACATAATGTAAAACCATCCTAAAATGTGGTATTTATGTACTTCTAAATAGTACACATCAATTACAAACATTATGCATGACAATATTGGAGGATTAAATGATGATTTTGCAAAGATAAAAATTGCTCATGAGTTCTTGATTAAATATGTTGAAGATCCCATAACAAACATGGTTGAATACATTTATCCTTCCATTGCTACCGTTGATGATGATCCGAGTTATTTGAAAAAAAGAACAATATTAGCACCCACTCTTGACGTTGTGGATTTCATCACTGGACTAAGCCTTGCATGTCCTAGTCACTATACTAACCCCTCGTTACATGTCCTAGTCGCTATCCCAACCCACCGCCCAAGCCCCAGCCCGCTCATTGACCACCGCCTCCTTTGCAGTTACAGTGACTGCCGTCGGCGGTGCTGACACTACCCCACCCCTACAACCGCCACAATCCACACCACAACACAGCCAAACAACTCCACCACCCCAGCCAAAAAATCACAGCCCCAATCCAGAAAATCACTGTCAAAACACGCAAAAAATCAGAAATCGTAGTTTTCGATCAACAATACCGATGACGATGAACGATCTAGGGCTCCTGGTTTGGACTTAGCGATGGCGGCAACGTTTTTGAAAAATAAGAAAGGAGAAGAAGAATAGAGGTGTGGCAGCGGCGGCGGGCGGGTGAAGCAGCAACTGCAACGACCACCATCGATACACAAGTGGATGCACGGAATAGTCCCGGTCGACGATTTTGATACACGAAGCTTGACTGCGATACTAGATGGCGGTGCAGATGGATGTTAGTGAATCTTCGAAGAGTCATCACTCCCACTCTCAGCTTCATCGGTATGATATGTTGGTGTGAGATGATGAAGTAATGAAATTGGACTTATTTATACTACAATTTTACAGCTCCTTGTAATAGATCTGCCAAATTATCCGATGGTCAATGACTGCCTATTATACCTTGGACAATAGATGTGTCATATACACATTCCCAAACCAAAAAACTTTCAGCCAATTTAAAATCAGTAGCACAAATAATTTAATGTTTTCTTTAGCTGGACGGACAATAAAATAAATTAAAGGACAACACATAATAAATGAGAATCTCTGAGCCGTATCTAAGAAATATTCTCACAGGCTAATGTCCAATTGGTATGAGACATCAAATGATGTCTTGGAAAACGTAAATTGGGCCATGAATGGCCAACCCGACCGACCCATGGTTGGACAAACATTTGGGCGGGAAAAATGGGCAGGTTTTCTCTTGCTTTTGGCCTTGTTTGGTAAATGGTTGTTAGCTGTTGCTGGTAGCTGGTTGTGTCAGCTGTTTCGAAACAGCTGGTTGTGTTAGCTGTTTTGACCGACTGGTTATGTTGGTTGATTATAAATAACTGTTTGGTAAAATTGGCTCTTTCGAAATGGCTGATAGAGTGTAAATTGAACCAGCCAAATGAAGAAGCTGCTCCCCCTTAGCTTCTTCCACAATCCATTTTTTCAGCTTTTCAAACTCAACAAGCTAATTTTAAAAGCCATTTACCAAACATTATTATTAGCTTCTTTGACTAATCAAACAGTTGAAATGGGTCAATCAAGCTAAAAGCCGGCTGATAAGCCATTTGCCAAACATACCCTTTGTATGGTAAAGATGTACAATAATTGGTTCATTCCCGGTTTTGGAAAGAAATATATGGCGTAGGTCATTTCACCAAATAAGTGTGGCATTCAATTTATTTAGAGTAGGAGATTAGAACTGAGAAGACCAATTACTCCCTCTGAGCTAACATACGCAGAACGACGACATGCACATGGGAAAAGAGAAGCAAAATCATCAAGAATATTTACTACTACGTATTCAATTTGAATAGAGATCCAAATTAAAAACACAGAACAAATAGTTCGTGATCAGATCACCTGCCCGAGTGCCCGGCCTCTTCGATCATCGTCATCATCATCTTGTGATCTCAGATTCTAGCTGTTTAGAAAAAAAGATGAGTTCTCTTCCCCGGCCTTCCCGCACCTACCAGATAGCCATGTATCCCTGGTTTGCACTTGGCCACCAAATCGCATTCCTCCGTCTGGCCAACAAAATAGCGTCAAGAGGTCACAAAATCTGGTTCTTCACCCCTAATAGCTCGCGACGCGTGGTTGAGCATTTCAACCATCACCCACACCTCATTGCCTTCGTCCCGGTCACCGTCCCGCACGTTCCGGGACTCCCTCCCGGAGCCGAGACCACCGCGGACGTCCCCTTCTCTACTTCCCATCTCATCATGGAAGCCATGGATATGACACAAGAGGAGATCGAGAAGGAGCTCTTGAATCTCAAAGTCGATATCGTGTTCTTTGATTACACCCACTGGATACCCAAGATGGCCCGTAGAAACGGCATGCGATCCGTGTTCTACAGCACCATTAGTCCTGTGATGCATGGATATGCAATCTCTCCCGAACGACGCATTCCGTGGAGAAACTTAACAGAAGCCGACATGATGAAAGCTCCGGGTAATTTCCCGGACCTATCTATCACGCTACGTGCTCATGAGGCACGTGGCTTCACAGCGAGAACCATCATGAAGTTCGGTGGGGATATCACTTTCTTCGATCGGATATTCACCGGCGTCAGTGATTGTGATGCTATAGCGTACAGTACATGTCGGGAGCTTGAAGGGCCATTCTGTGACTACATTGAAGCCCAGTATAAAAAACCTGTCCTGCTCGCTGGCCCGGCCCTTCCGGTGCCACCAGACACCACCATGGACGAAAGCTGGTCAGACTGGCTGGGGAAATTCGAGAAAGGCTCTGTTGTATACTGTGCATTCGGTAGTGAATGCATTCTGGAGAAGGATCAGTTCCAGGAACTACTATGGGGCCTTGAGCTTACCGGAATGCCATTCTTTGCTGCACTGAAAACACCGTCCGGTGCAGACTCCATTAAAGCTGCCATTCCAGAAGAACTAAAAAGAAAGCTACAAGGAAGAGGAATTGTGTGCGGGAAATGGGTTGAACAGCAACTGTTTCTTCAGCACCCGTCGGTGGGTTGCTTCGTGACTCACTGTGGGTGGGCTTCACTCTCAGAAGCACTGGTGAATAAGTGCCAGATTGTGCTGTTACCACATGTAGGAGATCAAATCATCAATGCGAGGATAATGAGTTTGAGCCTCAGAGTTGGGGTGGAGGTGGAGAAAGGGGAACAGGACGGGCTGTTCACAAAGGAGGGTGTGTGCAAGGCGGTGAGAGGTGTGATGGATGAGGAGAGTGAGACGGGAAGAGAGACCAGAGCTAACCATGACAGGTTGAGGGAGTTCCTGCTGAACAAAGACCTAGAGTCAAACTACATAGAACTTTTCAATGAGAAACTGCATGCCCTCTTTGCTTGATCATTGTTTTGGTTGGAATAATTAGGTGACTATCTCGTTGAGTGGTACTTTGGTTTTTCTTTCGTCTTACTATGGCGTTATATGTATTTGTTTTTGAACGGAGTTTGTATGTGTTTCTTTTTAGGTGACAACTCTGGTACCTTTCTAAAAAATGGGGTACCTTACCTATCATTCATTTGATTGGACCACATCACTTTATCATTTTTAATTTAGATTTAAATAATTCAACTGCTACATTTTCATTGGTCCATGTGGACAAAGGTATGGTACCTTATGGGTACCATAGAATCTACCTTCTTTTTATTGTTGATTGGTGTGGATTAGTTTAATTGTTTGAAGGAATAAATTGTTAGGAATCTGTAAATATCATAGGAATGTCATGATAGTTTTTTTTCTAAGAGTAAATTACTCTTTAATCATCCTACAACATTCAAGTACTTATTAAGATACAAAGATGTTACATAAAATGTGTTAGATTACATACTCTGCCAACAAGTCTTTTAATGGAATGGAATATTTTTGTTGGGGTGGATATTCAAAACCAATTTTGAAGGTATAGAGGGGGAAGGATGACTATGATATGGGATGTCAAAAGTGTGGCTTGTGACATCTTGGATTTTGGGTTCTCAATTTATCCACTGCAGAGCTAAGTGTTTAATCACTCAACTATCTTCTGTTGTCACCATAAGGGGGAGAAGAGAGCTATGCGATCCTGTTACACTTGGTCAAAATGTTAGTGAACCATGGATCATATGATAGGTGACATCAACTGTACTCTTTCACTTAAGGAGATAATTGAAAGTGGGGAACCATTAGCCTAAGAGATGGTGGGCTTGGGAGGGTGTATGAATACGTTAGGCCTTGAGGATGCCCCATCTAGTGGGGTAATTGAGATATTTCATTTTGTGTTTTTTTAAAATGGATATGAGAATTTTATTTTTGGAAAATGGAAAGTGTTTTTTTGGAGGGAGGGAGTATATTTTATAGCTGCTGCAACTGATGATTGCAGACATATGATGACAATAATCATGGCATGATTGTTGGAGAACATGCATTATCGAGACAGTGACCTTGAAGTAAGAATCCAGCCTATTTGTCCTTCATTGTCTGTCTTTGGTATATGACTCCTGGATGTGTCTTATCTGATTCCAGATTAGCACAGTAAGGACGAAGGAAGTCACCAATAAACCGTAGGTATCTTCCACCTTCTTTCTTGGAAGTTGCCAAGAGACACCTTAACATGGAGGCACCTTCTTGGAAAGAGCTCTCCAACAAATAGGTGTGGGAGAAGATATGGAGATAACTAGGAAGCTTGGATGCAACTTCCTCATGTCTCCAAACCAGCCCTATAAATAGAGTGCTCCATTGTTGTTCATAGTATCAGTTTAGAAAGTGAGAAAAGTGTGTGAAGAGTGAAATACACTTAGTGTAGAAGTGTATTGGTGAGGATTGGTTTTTTTGTAACAGTTGAGTGTGAGAGTTTGCTCCTCCTATTGTAATTCTGTTCTTGATATTGAATAGAAGAATTTTCCAATCCCAACAAGTGGTATCAGAGCGAGGTTGAGTTTCCATACACTGTTTTCTCATTTTCAGATAAATTTCTACAGGTTAGAAAATCGTGATTTTTCAAGTTAATCGGAATCAGGATCTCATCATACCGTTAGATTCGTCTCGGCGAGACGAGAAATCTGGTATTTTTGGGGATTTTTTTGGCCACCGGAAGAGGCCGTACGCGCCGCCGGAAAACTGCCTGCATCATCACTGCGTCATCACGCAGTCCAGAGGAAGAAGACGATCCACGTCAGCTGCCACGTCATCGCCACGTTGGACCACGTCAGCGACACGTGGTGCCGAGTCATCCGCCACGTCATCCACCCGAGCCGTCCACTGTGAGCCACGTCAGACGCACGTGGCTACACGTCATCGCCACGTCAGCGAGGGAGCAGAGCCACGTCATTCGCCTGCTGGGCTGCAGGCTGGGCTGCTGCCTGAACCGGACCGAACCGGTTCGTGCTTTTGGAGGCCGGTTCACCCGTTTCCAGACCAGTTTTGGACGAGGTCAGACCGGTTCTTACCATTTTCGGCCATTCCGGATCCAACGGTGAGCTCCGTTTGTCCAAATTCGGCTTCTAAAATAAGGTACGAGATATATAGAGCGTTTTATTATGGATAAATCATCGTCGGACACCATGATTGCGCTCACATCCACAAACTACAATATGTGGAAGCCTCGGATTGAGGATTTGCTAAATTTGAGGGATTTAGCGGATCCTCTTGATAATAATGGTGTGAAACCGGATAAAAAGACGGATGAAGAATGGACAAAAATGAATCGAAAAACTGTCGCACAAATTCGACAATGGATAGATCATAGTGTGTTCCACCATGTTGCTCAAGAACAAAGTGCTTACACACTATGGGAGAAGCTTGGTAGCATGTATCAAGCAAAAACCGCCCGAAATAAGACGTTACTAATGAGGAGATTAGTAAACCACAAATTACGTAGGGGTATTTCGGTGTCAGAACACACCAGTCAATTCCAGGATCTTGTGAATCAGTTGAGCACCACCGGATGGGTTCTCAAAGATGAAGAGCACGCGATACTACTCTTGAGCTCTCTACCTGACAGCTGGGAGACTCTTGTTGTCACTCTCAGTAATTCTGCTCCAAATGGGAAGGTGACTATGCAGATGGTCACAGATGCCCTGATGAATGAAGAAGCCCGAAGGAAGGAAGCCGGGACGGAACAATCATATGTCCTCATATCAGAAACTAACAGACGAGGGGGAGGCAGAAATGGAGGAAGAAGTCGAGGTCGAGGTAGAGGTCAAGGTCAAAGTAGAGGAAATTCTCAAGTTCGCGGAAGATCACAAGAGAGAGGTATGTCCTTAGAAAACAATACTTGGTTCGAAGGATATTGCAATTACTGTAGTAATTATGGACATAGGAAAAGAGATTGTAGAAAGTTTCTACGAGAGAAGCCACAGACGAGTCAAAATACTAGCCAAGAAGATGGTGAGACCATGGTTAGTTTGTCATCAGACGTGTGTCTTGTTACACATGGTGAACAAGAATGTTTACACGTAGGCACTCATGATGTTGAGTGGGTGATTGATACAGCCGCATCATTTCACGCCACTCCACACTAGAACTTATTCACAACTTATAAGTCCGGAGACTTTGGAGCTGTGAAGATGGGAGACACCAGTTTCTCGAAGATTGTTGGCATTGGTGATGTGCACATAATAACAAATGTCGGATGCGCACTTGTGTTGAAAGATGTTCGACACGTTCCAGATCTTAGATTGAATCTTATCTCCGGTACAACTCTGGATCAACAAGGATATCTTAACCGATTCAAAGAAGGTACATGGAAGCTATCTAAAGGTTCCTTGGTTGTTGCAAGAGGCCATATTTGTGGCACTCTTTATAAAACTCATGCAAAGTTGTGTCATACGAGTCTCAATGCTGTTGAAGAAGAGATATCACCAAACTTGTGGCACCGGAGGTTAGGTCACTTGAGCGTGAAGGGATTGACAACTCTTGCAAAGAAGGAAGTCATTTCCATGGGCAAAGGTGTTGCCCTAGATTCATGCGAGCACTGTCTATTTGGGAAACAACACAAGGTTTCCTTCAGTTCTACCAAGAAGAATCATACAGAGTTACTCAGTCTTGTCCACTCTGATGTATGTGGACCCATTGAAGAGGAGTCACTTGGAGGAAGCAGATACTTCGTGACATTCATTGATGATGCATCACGAAAGGTATGGGCCTACTGTTTAAATCGTAAGGATCAAGTGTTTGATCGATTCAAATCATTTCATGCCATGGTAGAAAGAGAAACAAGGAAGAAGCTAAAGTGTCTGCGTTCAGACAATGGAGGAGAGTACACTTCTCGAGAATTCTCAGCATATTGTGCCGCATATGGAATCAGACATGAGAAGACGGTTCCACGAACTCCGCAACACAATGGTGTAGCCGAAAGAATGAATCGGACCATTATGGAGAAAGTTCGTTGCATGTTGAGTCTGGCTAAGCTACCTAAGCCATTTTGGGGTGAAGCTGTGCTGACAGCTTGTTATCTTATAAACAGGTCACCTTCTGTTCCTTTAATCTTTGAAGTGCCAGAGAAGAAATGGTCAGGAAGAGATGTTTCTTACTCTCACTTGAAAGTGTTCGGGTGCAAGGCATTTGCACATGTGACCAAGGAGTTGAGACAGAAGCTTGATCTCAAGTCAAACCCATGTATCTTCATCGGCTATGGAGATGAAGAATTCAGATACCGGTTGTGGGATCCCAAAGTGAAGAAAGTTATTCGAAGCAGAGATGTTGTATTTCATGAAAACGAGTTTCATGGGTGTGCTCCAATAATCCGCCAACAACATACTCCAGAAGACGAAGTGCCTGTATCATCAAACATTCCTCTCAGCAACGAGGAGATGCATGATTCTACTGAACACGAGAGTGATGGTTCAGCAGGTGATGATGATACTCACAGTGATGATATTCCTCAGCAGGGGGAGCCTTCATCTGAAGACGAATCTGAAGGTATTCATGTTCGACGTTCTATGTGAGGCATAGTTCCACAAAGAAAATACTCCACATCCGAATGGATACTTGTTGCCAGCGAGGGGGAGCCAGCGAGCACCGCAGGAACGAGAGAAATAAAGAAAAAGGTGGAGGGGGGAGATTTGTAGGTATCTTCCACCTTCTTTCTTGGAAGTTGCCAAGAGACACCTTAACATGGAGGCACCTTCTTGGAAAGAGCTCTCCAACAAATAGGTGTGGGAGAAGATATGGAGATAACTAGGAAGCTTGGATGCAACTTCCTCATATCTCCAAACCAGCCCTATAAATAGAGTGCTCCATTGTTGTTCATAGTATCAGTTTAGAAAGTGAGAAAAGTGTGTGAAGAGTGAAATACACTTAGTGTAGAAGTGTATTGGTGAGGATTGTTTTTTTGTAATAGTTGAGTGTGAGAGTTTGCTCCTCCTATTGTAATTCTGTTCTTGATATTGAATAGAAGAATTTTCCAATCCCAACATAAACGAGCTTCCAGCAAGGATGATCACAATATGAAGCTATCTCCTATTTTTTTTGAAATATTTTTCTAAACCCATTACAATATCTACTATTGTGGGGGCATAGCAGGGGTGACCAATATAGGCCTTGGCCCACCCCAAATATATCTACTATCTCGAACCTGCGACCTCCTCTTTAGGAGATTAATAGTGATGTCATCAGACAACAAGGTATTTGGTTCCTCCTAAACTTGTATACACATTTTTGTTCTTCCATTAGTTTTTGATATGTTTTTACATATGTGGTGCGCAAAAGAGCACCACATTAAGCACGATGTCTTACGCTCACTACTACATTTAAAGATCTTTTGTAGAACTTTGCTTCGTGTAAACTCCCCGTTACACGCCAGCTTACTCGCTCAAGTGTAGTTGTAATACCCGAGGTTATTTTAAGAGGATTAATAGTACTACTCATACCGACAAGGTGCATCTCCTTTTAAGGGAGCTCATTAACCAAGAACTCTAAAGTTAAGCGTGCTTGTATGGGAGTAGTCTTGGGATGGGTGACCCCCTGAGAAGTTTCTCAAGACGCGCACGAGTGAGGACAAAGTGCGCGGAAAAGGCTAGTGACGGTTTGTGAGGACAGTACTAAAGGTCAGAAGTAACTACCTTGAGGCCTACGGGGCCGAGGTGTTACAAATGGTATCAAAGCAACCCTGCGACAGTGTGCTGATCCATTGGATATCGGGCGGGCACTTAGCAGGGCAAGATTCTGGGGTTTGATTGAGATTGGTTTAAGGATGCAACGAGGACGTTGCGATCCTAAGTGGGGGTGATTGTAATACCCGAGATTAATTTAAGAGGATTAATAGTACTACTCATACCAACAAGGTGCATCTCCTTTTAAGGGAGCTCATTAGCCAAGAACTTCAAAGTTAAGCGTGCTTGCATGGGAGTAGTCTTGGGATGGGTGACCCCCTAGGAAGTTTCTCAGGGCGCGCACGAGTGAGGACAAAGTGCGCGGAAAAGACTAATGGCGGTTTGTGAAGACAATACTAGAGGTCAGAAGTAACTACCTCGGGGCCTACGAGGCCGAGGTGTTACAGTAGTTGTCTGTACACCAACAATTATACTTGGATTTTAGTAAAGGGAAGTGTCTGTGACTCCAAAAAAATGAATTATCTGTGCATAGACACTTTGGAATTACAAACACTTTCCTATTTTAAATCCAAGTGTAATTGTCCGCGCACAGATAATTACACTTGGGCGTGTAAGCCAATGGGTAACGGGACGTGTACACGAGGAAGCAAAATTTTCTTTTGTAACACAGAATATGTGATTTCCATCATTTGCAATGGAGCCAAAGATTCATTTTTTTGGCTTGAGATTATGATGGAATAAAGCAAAATGACTCACTAAATTGTCTGCGCTTCTTTGTTATGAAGCAACAGTCAGTCCATGCAATTTTGGACGCGATTTTCACTATGGGTCATCCGGAAACAATATCTCTGTGCTTTAGTACAGGGGTAAGACTGCGTACATCCGACCCTCATACCCCACCGTAGGTGGGAGCCTTTGCGGCACTGGGTAAATGAAAATGATGATGATGAACACAAAATATGTGACTTTTGGTCCTAAATACCATTACATTATGAGATGTGTGGATGCCAACAAGCATAAAAAATCGGACATTGAACGTGTTGGCCGGCAACTCAAAAACATTATTGAGGTGGTTGGAAATAATGATGTCAGTTGCGGAGTGGGTAAGTATCTATTCAGATATATTTTATTTGACCGAGAATATTTTTATTTGATAAAGTAACTTTTTAATCTCACCGACATTATTGCAGTGGTTTGATTTGAATGCACCGTTTATTTCTCATTTGTGTTGTAATATGGATAGTGGATTTGTATTTGCTTAAAGCTGCGGCCCTCGTTTCGAGCCTGACAACTCCGAATTTGATTAAAGTTCTGACAGAGCTGTTTTCAAATACATGGTTCTCCGATTCGGAGTAGCCTACTCCGTTTTACCTCTTTTTGTCAAAAAACACATCAACACGATTCGGAAACACTTGCTACAATTTTACTCTGTTTCGTCATTTACTCCAAAAACACCCCTTAAAATTTCGTCTGCAATGTCTCAGACGTAATCTACTTTGCTAATCAGTCGCAAAGAGTCAATTGATATTGGTACATGATGGAGTATATGGCCCGGGAACCCCCGGCCCACAGACTCCTACTACTCCAGTAAAGGCCCAACAGGCCCAGAAGGCCCAACAGGCCCAAATATCGGCGCCCAGAGTACCAAGCAGCCCACGATGCGCACCAGGGGTGCCTTCGGCCCCCTGGCCGAAGGCTCTAACTCTCACAGGAGGGCCAGGACAGCAAAACGAAGTTACTGGGAAAAACGGCAAAAATCAGTAGCCCTCGGCACCTGGAGCCCTCGGCACCCAGGGGTCCCCGGCACTCCGAGCCCTCGGCTAGTCCCCTGCAGCCGAGGGCACCTCTCCCGACATGATATCCGCGCCACATGCGTACAGATCACCGTACCCTGTACAACGTCCCGTCCAACAGCCGCATTAAATGCGGCCACATGCGGCTGCCAGCGCCAACCAGTTGAGGTGACCTCTCGGCCAATGGACGCTTGACACGAGTCCCTGTACGGCATTTATTGCTACTATAAATAGCACCCCATTTCCCCATTTGTAACCACGCTGAAAACGCTCCACACTTGTAATATACTTTCTCTCTCTATATTTACTTGCTCCGACTTCTCTCTTATTACTCCCCGTAATAACCCCTCGGATAAGCTACCCCCCGGGTACACTGTCCATCATTTGGTGCTCTCGTTGAGAGGTCAAACAATCAAGTAAGAAACCCCCCCCCTTCGCCAAACACTAGCCCTCTACCAAAATGGTAAGAACAACACGTGCCAACTCCAAAAGCGTAGAAGACAAGAACCTGGCCCTCGGCGACGTCAACGCCCCCGAAGCCTCTCACAGGGCTCCCGAGGGCGGTGTCATCGCTGGGCTGGAACAGGCGGCTGTCGACCTACGCCTTCAGATCCAGCAGAATGCCCCCGATGCCCGCCTCGGTATCGAGGCCAAGAAGAAAAACCGGAGCGATGACCAAGTCAGCCCTCCGGTCCTCACCATCGACGTTCATTCGGCGCTCTCCGCCTTCATCCAGACGCTAACTCAGAACCCGGGTGCCTTCGGCACCCTGGCTCCGGCTCCACCCCAGGTTGGGGAGAACATCATGCTTCCCTCCCTGCCACACCCCTTCGGAACTCCCATCCCTCGGGTTAGGAATGACGAAGGGGTAGTGGCCCAAGATACGGCCTCCCAGGAAGTTCAGTCCCGGGACCGCCACAATGACAACAGAGAGAGGCCCCGCACTTCCGCCCTCAACCGGCTCAGAGGGGGACAAGACCGCCTCGGAGGAAAAGCACTCCAAAGGCCCCAGGAAAGCGGAGGGTCTGTCTCGAGGGCAGACGAGGAGCGTCCCCCTCGGGACAAAGGCAAGGCACCCCTTCATGCCGACGATGCTCGCCACCAAATCAACCAGGCCCACTCGGCCCGGGTTCGTTCGCAGGGGGCGGGGACCCTCCCGAAGGACCCCCGGGACGAAATTATTGCGGCCCTCCAACGCCGGCTTGATGAAATGGAGGCTAACAAAGCTCACGCCACCACCTCCACCCCTCATTCAGACCTCAAATACGAGGCCATGATGGCCAAAATGGAGGAATTACAGAAGAAGGTAGCCGAGGGCTCCGGGGAACCCGTCATCCAGCTCCGGACCCGGACGCCATTTACCCCAAGGGTACTGGCGGCCCGGATCCCGGAAAAATACCGAGGGCAACACATACAGCCCTACAACGGGAAGACGGACCCCCAGGAACACTACAGCAAATATCAGAACAGCATGATGATGGTAGGGGCGTCGGACGAATATTTGTGTCGTTGGTTCCTCTCCACTTTAGAGGGGCCGGCATACGAATGGTTCAACCGGTTGCCCGAAGGTTGCATTGATTCGTGGCAGGAACTCGCCCAACGATTCTTGACGCAATTTGCCGGGAGGCGTCGCACGAGGAATCATTTCTCCCACCTCCTAACCATACGCCAAAGGAGGGATGAGACCCTTCGGGACTTCCTGGAGCGCTGGAGAACGGAAGCCGACAAAGTCGACGGTGCTGATGACGGGACCCTCCTGGCCCTCCTACAAACCGTCCTCCGCACCGGCAACTTTTCAAGGAGCCTCATCATTGAACCCCCGCGACTACATAAAGTCCCTGCAGCGGGGGACCGATATGCTGAGGCCGAGGAGGTGGAGAAATACCACCAGCATCCAGATCAGCAGCCCCCGAAGGCTGACAACAAGAACAACCGAGGGCCGGGGGCTCCTCCAAATCACCCCAAGTCTTCAGGACCCTCTGATGACCGCCCTCGGCAAGGCCAAGCCAAGCCCGAGGGAGGTTATAAGAGCAGCCCTAAGACTTGGGCACAGCCCATTCTCCTGGACCGCCCCCGGACACCATTGACGCACCCCGTCAGCATCATCCTTGATTTTGCCGAGGAGAGGGGCCTCGTTGAGCGCGATTCTCGCGCACCCCCGGAGGTACATGCTATCAACCCTCAGTTCCCATACTGTCGTTTCCATCGGCACCAGGGGCACAGAACCGATGACTACCATCAGCTAAAGGCGGCCATCGAGAGATTGATACAAGCGGGGCACCTGTCCCAATTTATCCAGAGCCCTCGGCAGGAGGGACCTTCTCATCAGGGACCTCCTCGAGGGCACCACACGAAGGTGAACGCTTGGGTGAACCCGAACGCCATCCCCCTCGGCAAGAAGAGGGAGATCGGAAACTTGGAGGAGGAAGAGGAGGAGTACCCCCACTACCAGGAGAAAAAATGCCACATCCTCATGATCACTGGTGGCAATACGGGTGGCGATTCCACCAGCCAGCGGAAAAAGTGGGCTCAATCGCTTTACGTGGGGCAAGTCACTCATATGCCCCCGGTAAAGCGGCTGAGGG